AGAGTCCCACCAACATCTCAGAAACCCACCACAGTTAATGTTCCAGGTACAAGAGTCCCACCTAAACCTCAGAAACCTACCACAGTTGATGTTCTAGGCCCAAGAGCCCCAACAAAACCTCAAAAACCTACCAAAGCAAATATCCCATCTACAGTAGCCCCACCAACTCTTCAGAAACCCAACACAACAAATGTTCTAGCTACAGAAGACCAACTGACACCTCAGAAACCCAACACAACAAATGTTCTAGCTACAGAAATCTCTTCAACCCAACAAAAACCCAATACAGCAAATGTCACAGCTACAGAAGACCCACTGACACCCCAGAGACTCAACACAACAAATGTTCTAGCTACAGAAGACCCACTGACTCCTCAGAAACCCAACACAACAAATGCTCTAACTACAGAAATCTCTTCAACCCAACAAAAACCCAATACAGCAAATGTCACAGCTGCAGAAGACCCATTGACACCTCAGAAACCTAACACAACAAATGTTCTAGCTACAGAAATCTCTTCAACCCAACAAAAACCCAATATAGTAAATGTCCTAGCTACAGAAGACCCACCAACACCTCAGAAAGTGAACACAGCAAATGTCCCAGCTACAGAAATCCCAGCGACACCTCAGAAAACTGATACAGCAGATGTCCCAGTTACAGACATCTCACCAGCCTCACAGAAATCCACCACAGCAAAAAGTTCAACCACAAACCCAGTAACAGCTCAGATATCCCACATATCAAATACTGCATCTGCAAAAAGCCCACTAACTCAGAATCCTACCACAGTTAACTCTTCTGCTGTACAGACTGCACAAACAGCCCAGAGATTTGCCACAGCCAAGTCATCACTTACACAGAGTCTGCCAGCAACACAAAGGCCCACATTTCACACCAAGGGTCTCCAGAGCGTTCCACAAAGACTCACTCCTGTTCATATTACAGTAACGCAGCGTGTACCTGCTACCAAGACAACCACACGTCATCCACCAGGAACATCTAAAGATAAAGAAAGGTCTACCTCAGGTTAGTTCACGTTTCCTGTGTGCGGGTCTGATGTTTTATGAGGGAAAGTGAGGACTGGGGTCCAACAGCCTGCAGCTAGTTAACGGTTACAGTGTTCCATAGTCACGCTATGACTTCACTGCACAGTATAACAAAGACATTGATATGGTAATTTTGAGTTTTGTTAGAGTCCTCGGAAGGGGACTTCAGTTTCTGATAATTTTGCTATATAGTCTTGTTTTTGAGAGAGTCTCATTATGTAGCCCAGGATGATCTTGAACTCCGGATACCCACTGCCTGTGCTTCCCAAATGCTGGACTACAGGCCTGTGCCTCCTCCATACTTGGTTTGGTAGTTTTTGATCATAGATTGTATCATCATCTATTTTATATTTAAGCTTTTCAAACTTGTCTCCTATCATCAATCATATAACAATATATGTAAATATTTGCTTTGGTGTTCTAGAATTGTCATGGCTTACAGCAACATTGGTAGCTGTCCAACAGATTCAAATATTAGTGTTGATGCTGCTGAAGTAAAGAATGTATAATTGTGTTCATGACATATATATATATATATATATATATATATATGATTAGCTTTTTAACTTAAAGTATGTATAGCTAATTAATATATATATTAAGTTGTTAGCAAATTAATGAAAAGTTAAAATGTTTAGTTTTATAATTGTGTTCCTCTCCCCTTTTATCTTTTAGATGGTAACCGTCTTATATATGGTAAGTTTCACTCCCAGGGAGTTAAAAGAAATTGCCATCACTGTGGGAAACATAATCGGTGTTTCTGGAAGAGAATTTTATCTTTTAACTGTCTCAGGAAAACTGTAAAAATTCAGTATGTTTTATGTAAAAATTCAGTCAGGTTTATGGAAACCTGAGGGAAGATCGGTAAATGAATTTTGTCACGTTTTGTGGACACCCTTACACACCCAGTATGTTCCTTTATATTCCCACCAGTGTTCTTGTTCTGAGGTGGTCGTAGGACGGCTTCTGATCAATTGGCCAATCAGTGGGGTAGAACTGAGTGCCCGCTGTGTCAGTATATTCCCTAGGGACAGAAGAAAGAGCTGTTGGGACAGTGTCTGTCCGACACTTTATAATTAACCAACTCTTTAGCTACTTTTAGATCTCTGTCATAGCTCAAATGTGACAGAGTCTCACTCTTGATTATATCATTCCTCCATCTCTAATAATAGTTTTAAGCAAAGTTCTCTTAAAATGTATTCTCTTCCTGGGTGGTGCATGCCCTTAATCCCAGTGCTTAGGAAGCAGAGGCAGGTGGGATCTCTCAGTTCGAGGCCAGCCTGGTCTACAGAGGGAATTCCCGAACAGCCAGGGCTACACAGAGAAACCTTGTCTCAAAAAACAAAAAAAAAAACAAAAACAACCCAAATATGTACTCTTAATGCTGATGTAGTCAGTGAGGATAGAAACATTGCTGTCAGGCTTTTTCTTTGTACAGTATTGTTTACTGTTATTCATTAATAAGATCAACAAACCCCTGAACAAAATGGTATTAGAAACTGTTAATTAGCAAAGTAGCAAAGTAGCCTACTGAAGTGATGTGCAATTGAAATCACCTTTTTATGAAAAGTTGTTAATTTTAAAATGATGTACTTACAAGTGATATCCCCATTTCATACATGAATGTATTAGCTAAGGGATGCAAACCTGAAAGTGGAGATTTAGTTTCTATTGTTACTTTTAGTATTTGTTACTATTTTAGCTACTTTTTTTATTTGTTTATTGTTACTTTTTAAGTATTTGTTATACTTAGTTTATGTTTAAGCTAAGTATTTAGAAATATCTCAGCAGGTGGAATTACTTTTTTCATTTTATATTTTAAATAGAAATAAATATATTCTAAGCTAACAAAAAAATCTTCTGATTTAATGAATTGTAGAAGTGATGAGTTTTAATGCCTGAGTTTCTGTTACTTAGTGGTATTTAGTGGAGATTTGAAATACTTACTATTTAATACTTTTTAAATAAATTTCATTTCTTATAGTGCAGTTCAGGCCTTGTACCTACCATGCACATGCCCTGCTGGTGAATTCTACCCCTCTTTTCTGTTTACATTTGAAATTCTTCAAGTTTGTATACTTTCCCAGGAAACGTTTTTTAGGGTATGTTGTAATTTACCTGTGTTCTGACAGCTCACTCCTGCAGTCAGACAATCGGGAGAAGGGTTGTTCCTTAAGTTCATCCTGTGAATCAGGTTATTATTTCACTTTAAAGATGAGACTCACAACTGGGAGTGTTTTCAACTTAATTTGTTATTGAATGTACAAAGAAGTGAGTGTCCCTGTGAAATGTGTATGTGTATGTATTGTTACACATCGCTCCTAAGTCAGCCTCCCATTGTTCTCCCTTGGGAAAATACTTTCATTGATTATATGGTAATGTCCTAGAAATTTGCAGTTTTTCCCACGTCATTCCTCAGAGTCCATCTAGAAATCACCAGATCTTCTTAGGGCTTCTGACCCTGGCTCTGTGTCAGGTCAGTCCCCGCCCCTCTCTCAATTTTGTCTTCCTCTGCTGAGAGTTGGTTCAAGCAGTTTTTCCTGATTTACCCCCCCCCCCCATGAAGTATTCATTCCACCCACACACCGTAAATCACTTTATTCTCTTTCTATACGCCTGCACTTTTTTGGTTTTTCGATACAGGGCTTCTCTGTGTAGCTTTGCACCTTTCCTGGAACTCACTTGGTAGCCCAGGCTGGCCTCGAACTCACAGAGATCCGCCTGGCTCTGCCTCCCAAGTGCTGGGATTAAAGGCGTGCGCCACCACCGCCCGGCTTGCCTACACTTTTTACATATATAAAATTAATCTTTTTTTCCTTCCTGGGTCTGCTCCCTATTGGCAATATGAGGCCAACATAGTTTTATTGTCCTTAAAGTCAGTATCATCTAGAAGAAAAAAACAGAAACAAAATCAAAAAAACTCATGCTTAGGAATTAGTCAAACTGGTTTCAGTCTGGCTTTTTATTTAGTAAATATTCAACCCAACAATTAATTTAGGCCCTCCGAGTCTCAATTTTTTTTGTCTATGATGCAGATTCTGTGTAAGCTTGTATTTGATAGCGGATGTGTTCAATCCTAGCACAGTAGTAAGAGATGAGTACACAGGACATCAGGACGACACAGTGTGGGGTCACCGTTCTTTTTCTGAGGTAGATTTGTGCAAATTTTATCACTCCCTCTGGTGACATGAAAGATAAACAAGCACCATTTTCTTTTTTTTTAAATTCAGGTAATGTTTGTGTTTGCTGTGTGGCAAATGCTGCTGTATTTGAAGTTTTCACATGTATACATGTTTAACTTTTCGACAGTGCCGGAATGTAGCATGCATACTTTTGTTTGTTTGTTTGTTTAAGCTGGGAGAGATGTTTTCACAGTGAGTTTTGATTTCTCCCAGGTTTTCCCCTCCAGTCCCCTCCCCTAGGATATTATCCCTTCCCAACTTGATGCTCTCTCCTTTTTTAAATTTGATTTACTAACTTTCAGAGATCAATTTGCACATGTGTACAGGACCATCTACTGGAGCATGGTTTACCTCCTAGTGGCCACACCCACACAAAAAGGCTTCCCATTGACAAATATGGATTACAGGATTTGTATCTTGTCCAGGGTTTCAAAGCTATGCAGGAAGGAAGTAGAGGCCAGTGACTAGGCACAGTAGAGTCTCGTCTTACTGATAGGCAAGAGACTGCACGACTCAACTCAGATGGAGTACACGGATTCTCTCCAACCATTGCGTTATCTTTAGTCTGCAGGGCTAGAATCATGTGTTGTAACACTCGTACATCTTATGAAGGCTGATAGATCACTTGAAGTCATATTAAAGTTAGAAAATAGTCAGTGAGACCCACATGTATACTTACTCTCTTTACCCTGAATCTGGATTGCTCAACAGTTTGGCCCAAACCTGAGTGTGCCTGCAGTAGTCTTGAATCTCCTGTCAATATCGGAATGAACGGTACTGGTCTGATGACCGTCACTGTCTTTAGTCCTGACATGTTACATGCTCCAGGTCCGTTATAGCGTGACTACAGCTGTCTGCCCGTTACTCAGAGTTAAGAAGTCAGGCAGTCAGCTATGGTTGCTTACAGCCTGTGTTTAGAATTTTGAAATTTTAGCTTTTTTCTATCACATTCTTTTTCTAGCCACGTGTCTCTTTTTTAGTGTAATTTCACATGACTCCCAGGTTTTTGTTCTTTTTTTTTTTTTTTAAGTATGATTATGAGCAAGAACCAAATCTAGCCTCTGCAATCTCAGTTTTTCATGATGGATTGCATTTCATTTGTGTACTAGATACACAAGTGAGACAGTGTTTGGAAAGATGGGGCAAGTCCACAGAGCATGTGACAAGCACCTTTTAAGGGACATCAGTTGGCAGAAACATGTCTGACTTGATTTTTTTAGCCATAGAAATGATAGTCTATATTTTAATCAGTACCTCATCTGATTCACAGTTTTTTTGAATAATCACACGTATTTTAAATATTTTAAAAATTACACGTATGTGTATATTATGATGATGATGATGATGATGATGATGATGTATGTGTGGGTTTGTGCACATGAATGCAGAAATTTTGGATTTACTAGAGCGGTAGTGAACCACTTGTGGGTGCTAGGTACTGAACTTAGGTCCTCCACAAGAGGAGGGCATGCTCTCAACTTGGGAGCCATCTCTCCAGCATATCGAATATTTTAATTCAAAATGCCTTGAACCATTAAAACTGTGGCCTGAACCTTGGGTTAAAAGTAAGATTTTTGTTGTTGTGGCAATGCACAACAATAATAAAAATGACAACAATGTTGGTTATTTTAGGGGTCTTGATTTTCTCACCTACAAAAAAGGTTTCATCCAGTGAAGTTCAGTAATGGTTTACCAGGTACTTCCTATTTGCCCAGCATTGTGCTTATTTATTGAAGGTGACCAAATGAGACAAAATCTTTGCAGTGATTTCAACATCACAGAGATGCAGTTCTAACAGGATCTCACTGAGATAATCCTCTTATTGAAGAACAGTATTTTCTCAAGTTACATGGTTTTCCTTGAATCTCTTCAATTTTATGAGTAGGAACATTTGAATTATTATTATTATTATTTCATACATGATTATATACTTTCCTTTATCCTAAGTGGTGTAAGTCTTAAATCAGCAGTTATTTACCCGTGAGTTTGTTTTCTATAGATTGCCAAGTGAATTTGAGATCATGAACTGTTGCATTTCTGTCTAGAGGTTTTATTTGTACCTTGAGAGTTGTACTTTTATTAGTTTACTGGGAGCATGTGCAGGTTTTGTGTTTTATATTTTTGTGCTTTGCTCTGGTTTTCTGTTACAACATCAACCTCCACAAAACTTCCTCAAGAGCTAAATGCACGTGTTGATCTGTGCACTAGAAATAGCTTTTTATTTCTGTCCCCTTGACATTCAGGTTCATGTTCCTGTTTTTTATCTCCATTTTTCCTTTAAATTTTAAATTAGACACTGAAGTGATGAGATTAATGAGAAATTATGAGAGGAAGGGAAACTCGAAACTTTTGGGTAATTCTGATTAGTTGTCTTTCTGAACTAACAGTGCATTGCTGGCGGATCAGTTAAAGAAACTGTAGGTACAGTCCTGTAAAAGTCCCCCTGTCGTGGGAACAACTGCTTCTCCAGTTGCGCACACGAGCACAGTTGCACAGCACCTGTCTTTTAGTCAG